CCCCCCCCGGGCCCCCTCACATGATTTGGTGAGGGGGGAAATACATTCCTTCTTAGTAAACTTCTCATGACTAGTGAGGAAGGGAAGGGAAGGGACCCCAAGGGGCTGGTCTTTCAGCCAAAGTCCTGGAGTGGCCTTTCCTCCTCCCTCTCCCTGGGATAGCTTGGTTCGGATAATCCCTAGAAGGAGAAGTAAAGCTTAGCGGAGGTAGCTCTTTCCAGAGTCCTCCTTTGAAAAGAAGGGCAAAAGGAAGGCAGAGTACCAGTAGAAGGGAATATGTGTAGCTCAGGGTTGAATGGTGGAGCCCTTGGGGTTCTCTGAGCACACCCCCACCAAAACTGGCAGGGCATGCCACCCTATATAAACAGAGCAAACCCCATTCCATTCTAGCACTGAAGATGTTACATTCGCAAGAAAACAGCCAAGCTCAGAGAACCCCACGGACTCCACGGAAGGCAGAGAGTTAAAAAAACAACAACCCAAAGGACTTTTAGGCTTCAGGCCGGGCCGTTGCATGGTCCTGAAGGTGGGCAGAGACAGCCCAGAGCAGCAGCTTCCTGCCTGCCTGTGTTTTGCAAGCCCCAGCGGTTTAGGAGAAGCCAGTTTAAGGCAAAGAAACGCCCTCCCCCCCTCCCCAACCCAGATTTCTGGAATGATGCACGAGGAAGCAAGCTCAGCTGCCCCTTAACCAAGTGGGTTTTAAAGCAGTTGCCTGGGGTTATTTTTTGCTTCTCTTCAGTGAAACGGTTTTATTTATGAAGTTGGAAAGTTATCTCATTGTTTTGTTTGATACATAGATTAACTTGTAATTATGAAAAGTAAGTGGTCTGTCTGTTCTTCACCCAGCCTAACCCCAATGAAATCATTTGTTTTGTAGAGCCGGTTGCAGAAATTCATTTCATCACTGGGGTGTGTACGTGTGTGTGTGTGTGTGTCATAGTATGCTTAGTATGCTTAGTTTTCGCGGCTGGACTGGCAGAGCGATCTCTGGAGGAGGACAGCGCCCTCTCAGACCTCAGCAGGCTCTCCTGCCTTTTATGAGGACCACCCGCCTAGGTCACTGGTTCCATCGCTCAGCGGCGCTGCCCGTCGAAGTGTTTCAGTCTAGCCCAGCCGGCGGTGGCGTGGTGCGCCTTTCTAGCAAAAAGGGCCGCTAACGAAAAAGCGCAGGTCAAATTGCAAGCTTATAGCTAAAACATCCGAACCATTCAGGGCAAGCAAACTACAGGAAAGCAATAACAGCAGCGAGCCGACTCGCGCCTGCTGGGCTTCAGGTCGCATAGGATGCCCGCCAGAGCCCCCAGGGCAGCCGGGACTCCCGTTCAGTGGCGGCACACCTGCGTCCCGCTGCAGGCTTCAGTTCCACTCGGGATCAGCTGCAGTCTTCAGATCCTCTTCGTGTTTACTTTTGGGGCAGTCGTACCGCCTGAACGCTGGTGTGGCTGGCTCCTTGCCCGTCGCAGCAGCACTTGCCATAGTTCAGTCACGGTCTTTGTTAGCGGTGGTCTTTCTCAGATTTTCAGTTTAACTGTAGCTGTAAGATGAGGTCCTTTGTGGATAGAAGCAGGAGTGACACACAACGTTTGCCTCCCTGGCCGAGGAAGCGCAGGACGTGTGCGCCCGCAGCAAGTCTGCTTCTCGGCATGTCCGGAGGGAAGTTATGGCCGTCCTTCAGACGCTTTGACTTGGTAAACACTAGCTAGCTGGCCCCAGACAGCTCTGGCCCCGACTCGGGCGCCGGAGCTTATGGTGCGGGCAACTCTCATCTCTTCGTTTAGTTTACTTTTTTTTCACTGTTTGTGAATTCGGTTTTATCTTTGTTTGCTGCCCAGAGTTCCCCTGATGGATGGCTATATCTATAGTGGTTGAGAGTTGGCTGGCATAAAAGTTTAATAATAACAATAATATACAAAAGCAAAATTTTCATCTGCCAGCTACAAAAGGCCACATTGCTTGGATCCGCACATACACTACGCCGATACGTTACGACAGTGTCTCTCAACCGTGGCCACTTGAAGAGGTACGGACTTCAAATCCTAGAATTCTTTGCTGGCTGGGGAATTCTGGGAGTTGAAGTCCACACCTCTTCAAGTGGCCACGGTTGAGAAACACGGCTTTCAGCATCCGAGGTTCTTGGGAAGAACTGGATGTGAATGAAGGCCAGCGCCAGCTAAAGAACTGGCAGCTGTGATTTCACGTACAGCATGTGCAGTAGTAGTACCTTTAATAAACAAAATGGCAAGCAGCGTGATCGAGCCCTGCAAGTGCGGGGCCAAACCCAGCCCCCAAGAGAGAGCGTTTGGAGCTGGAAGCTGTGCCAAGACGGGCCTCTGGCAACATCTGCAAAGGGCTTCTCCTGTTGCTCAAACAACCAGATGGGCTTGTAATGGGGGAGGCGCTCCTCTCATAGGTCACATGAGGGTTTAAAGGACAACTCCAAAACCTTACGTTGGGCCTGGTAAGATCCACTTGGCAGTTTGTGGTGGCAAAACTTAATAGGTTGGGCTGGACAGCAGCAGGTTTTCAGGCAGCTGCCCCCTCGGTTCTCTGTGGTGAGTAGGAACTGCTTTGGGGTGATTAGGAATGGTGGCTAGAGGCAGGTGCGTGCATATCTTCTCGGGCCACCAGGAAGGCAGAAGTAGGCATGGCAGCGGTTGTGGCTTTCACCTGGAATACCAGTTAGCCAGGCCAGACTCTGCATTCCCTCGAGAAGCCATTATAAAGACTGAAAATACTGCAGCCTGATGGCACCGCTGGTTCGTGCCACGTGGAGGAACACGTCGTTCTCCGTGGGAGCTCTCAGTCACTCACATTTGGTGGAAACTTCAGAGAATTGGGAGGCTGGGTTTTAGGGGGCACGGAGACCGCCAGTTTCTCCAGCTTATTCTGTGGGCCAAGTCAGCTTTAATAACTCCTCGCCAGGTAATGTCAGAATTTCAAATGTGCCTGTTTATTTTATCAAGGCAGAAGGTTGTATGCTCAGGCCTTTTTCCCCAATGTGACCTGCCCCCCCCCTCCCTTTGCCAGCCAGTTTGGGACCTGGGAACAGATACTTTTGACTGAAGACATGAGGATCATATTTGGTGCAGGTCTGCAGTGAACAGAGACTGTGTTTGTGTATTTAAGTCGAGGGTTCACATGAACATAAACCATTGTTTACACATCACAAATGGCTGGTTTCACACTGCATGTTCAGCCAGAGCTAAGCAAACAATTTGTGCGAACTTAGCCATTCTTACTATAAAAAGAAATTCTCTGGAGGCCAAAAATCAGAAGGAGTCCGGTTGCACCTTTTCAGACTAACACATTTGATTAAAAGGCCAAAGCTTTTGTGAGCCACTGTTCCGTGTTTTTGTACGAAGAAATGTGTTGCAAGGTCAAGGGGCTCTTGCTATTTGGCGTTTGGCTCCTACTCTACCTGGGATTGACCTGAGAGGATGTACTGGAGTCTCTATGCTGAACACTGCTGGCTTAACTCAGAATCTTTTTTTTTTTTTCCCCTGTATCAGGAATTCTCTGTCTACAAAGATGGTGACATTTAACAAAAGCAAATCCTGCTAAGAAGTCAGCTTCTATACCAAACAGGCAGACAAATATCTGTCAGCAGAAATCTCTTTTTTCCTAAGCATCAGCAGTAGCCATGCTTGATTTCCAACTAGGTTGGGCCCCTCGTTTCGTGCTTTTGGTGCTCTCTGTATTGGCTTGATTCTAATTAACCGGATGTGTAAAAAGCAGGTAGCTCCAAACTAAATCTTTCAGATAATGCCCTTCTTTGACCTTGGGCTTTCTGGCTGCTGCTTGTGAAGAGCCCTTGGGGTTGTCCTGAAGAACCTCGTGGGACAGAGTCTAACCTGACACCTGTGTTTCCTTGCAGTGCGCAGAGGACCCAGGACCCCATGTGCTAACAGCTGCCTGCCATGCTGGCCTGCCTGCCAGGACCAGGCGACCTCTCCTTCCAGCTGCTTTCTTACCCGCAGATGAACGCTGGGCTTCAGAAATGTGAGTTTCTGTCTGGATTTTGACAAGATACCCAACGGGAGGGAAATGGGGGGAGGAAGTAAACCACTCTCTGAGGACTGTTGAGGGCAGAACCAGCACTCCAACAGGTCCCAGGCGCACTTCAGGGAATTGGCCTTGATCCACAGAGAACGATCACAGGGACCTAGGAAGATCTGGTCCATGGAGTCAGTTTGTAGATCCACTTAGCTCAGGACTGTTTGGGCTAGCAGGTCTCTCGCAGCTCTGAAGATGCTGTCGAGGATTGAACTGGGAGGTGGACCTTGTGCTCCAAGCCACCAATCTAGGTATTCCCACTTATCGATTACCTGGTGATGGTGGGACAGAAACCAGGGACCTTCCTTTCCTCTGAGCAATGTCTGTTCCTCAGTTGCCGAGACTGATGGAGATGCCCTCCCAGCTTATGAGCAGAACATCCAGGAAAGTGGTTTCAATATTTTCCCTCCAGAGACTCTCCGTGGTTCTGACATCATTGACAACTTTCTCCAATCCTTTTTTTTTTGGGGTACACGCTGGTGGCTAAATCTGAAAGGAGGAGGGTGGGCAAGGAAGACGTGCTTATTCCTTCCTGGTACATTCAGCACCCAGCAGTTTCATTTGCCTTGCCAACCCGGCCCATGTCGGCAACAGAGGCTCAGGGAGAGGTTAGGACTTCTCTGACCATCAAAGTCCCGGGAGGCCACCAATACAAGAGGCTGCCCGCTGCATCGAGGCGTGCTTCCCTGTTCTGGCCCCATTTCCTTTCCAGTCAGCTCTGCTGAGATGAGTAATTTTATCTCCCCTTTATATCTGATTCAGCGGTGACCAGAATATTCAGTTACTCCTGATGCAGCTCCAGCGCCACCTTGTCTGCTGGTGAGGGAGGCCGCCCTGCACCCTCTGCTTCCTCCCCCCCCCCCCCGGCAGCTGAGCATTAAGTCCAGATTCGGGGCAGGAACTTCAGGGGTGGCTGAGAAAGTCCAGCAGGAGCTGATTTTCATTGTATTCTGTTGGGCCGAGCTCCAGGTTCATAATGCAACCACGGATGTTGCTGGGACTTCTGCAAAGCTGAACGGTGGATCTGGGCTCCCTGTGCTGCAGCTTCCCAATTTAGAGAAGGCCTCTTGCCCCACAGGGAGCTCCACAGAATACTTTTTGTAGGACCCCCTAGGGCAGAGAGTAAAAATTGGCTACCTATGTTGTCCTGGATGACAGGACCGAGGAGGGGAACTCTTCCATTTATTTCAGCAGGGCATGGGGGAGTTGTCCCCAAGCAGATCTTTCTGTCACATCAGTAATAGTGCCTCTGGAAATCTGGAAGAAGCGAACGCTCCTTTCGACTTGGGAGGCCTCGCTCAGTCCAGGGCGAGGGCCCAGGAAAGGGATCCGTTCCGCAGCGTGTGAAGCAACCCCGTTTCTCAGGCCCACGCGCTGCATTAACAGCCAGCTCGTTTCCACAGTGTTCGAAGAAAGAGAGGACTAAACTCATTCAAGCAACTTGGGGGTTTGGATGTAGCCACTTCAGGGTATGCAAAGCTCAGCATGGTCGCTGAGGAGGGGGCCTGTGCCCCAGCGGTGCCAGAAGGGTATGGTCAAAACCTCGCGAGGGGGTGAGCAGGACTCCACGGGCGCACCTGAAAAGCGGGTGGCGCTTCAATTGCACTGTTGTGGCTGTCTTTTTTTTTTCCCCCTCGCCATACCCTGTGGACACCCCTGCTGGGCCCCTGTGCTTGGCGAGCGTCCCCAGCACCCACCTCTCTCAAGCTCAGCCCAGCCCCGCGCGGTTCTGACGTTCTGAAGAGACAACGCTGACTTGCTCAGTCGGTGTTGATGGCTTCTCTCTCTCTGTTTTTCTCTCTGTTTCTCTCTCTGTTTCTCTCTCTCTCTCTCTCCGTCCCTCTGTCTCTCTGACTTTCTCTTCCGCCTCCTCCTCCTCCTCCCTTCCCCAACCAGGGGACACTACACAGAAAATGAGAGCCGCACAGCACCCTACTCCAGCAGAGTTGGACGCGTATGCTAAGAAGGTAGCCAACCATCCTCTGACGATCAAAATTTTCCCCAACAGCATCAAGGTCCCTCAGCGGAAACACATTCGCCGTACTGTGAACGGGCTGGACACTTCCGGGCAGAGGTACAGCCCTTACCCGCCGTCGCAGGCTGCTGTGAAAACAGGCCTCCTGGCCATAGTTCGGTCCCCGGCCAAAGGGGTCATCAAGGACTTTGACGGGAAGCGGACGCGCCTGCTGCCGGAAGCCACGATGAATCCCCCCTCGGCCCCCTACGCGGCACCCAGCACTTTAGGCCACCCCCAGGCACTAGCCCTGCAGCAGCTGCACCCTCTGGGGGTCCCCCCCGCCCCGTCCCCACACCCGGCGAAAACAAGCCCCCCCCCCCCCCCCC